TTCAGAAAAGAAAAAAGAAAACAAAATTGAGTAGTGACACTTCTTTTAAGGGCCTTACCCAACTAATTCCAAAGTATTACCAACAATGCAAGACAACCATAAAAAAAGTTCACATCCACCAGTGGGATGGATACATTGTCAAAACAAGAAGAAAAGAGGAAGATGAGCAAGAGGAAGAAGAGGGAGCCAGAGAAAAGAAGAACTCAGAAGAACAGAAAGGGAAGCTAAATCTTGGAGCACTTTCTCTTTACAGTTGAAGAGTCACCAGGATTGATGCAAGCAAACACAGGTATGTATGTCTGCACTAAAGCATGAAATTATCTTTTTTGAGGACTTTGGAGAAATTGTGAATCTGCTCCTGGGGCAACAGCTGCCATAGAAACCTGGGAAACCTGTCGTGTCAAAGTTTGCAGTCTTTCATCCATCCAAGTACTAAGCAAGGTTCATGCCTACTTAGCTTCCCAGATCAAACGAGATCTGGTGGGTTCAGCACGCCACTGTCATGGACTTAGAGCATTTCTAGTCATGCCCACATCCCCAATCTCAAATCCTTCAAGGTGACTTTGGAATTAGTCATCCCAGATCTCTAGTGATATGTGTGTACAAACAAAGCTGTTTATCATTCGGTCTCAGAGGATCAGTGAACCACCTTGGAAAGGAAAGATGTTGAGATAGAGTGGAACCTCAGTAGACGGATTTTCTGAAAGCTGTTTTTCACAGGAAGCTGCACCTCAAAGAAAGACTCAGTATGTTAACTGTCACCTTCTGAAAACCAGGGCAGGGCTAAGGCAGTGATGTGCAGTTGAGCATCTTCAGAGCTATGATTCTTTTTCTTTTCCCATAACTAAGACTTTGTCCCCTCTCTGAGGGTTTTTTTTTTCCCTGATAAGATGTGTTAAAGTAAATGTTCCCTGTTTTGAGGGTTTTAATTTTAAATGTGGTCTTTAGGCATCTTCAATGTACATGTAACTACTGGGAAATAAAACATTGTGCAAATCCATAAAACATAACCTTAGACTGCGGCAGACTTGCATGAACTCTGAAATGCCAGTCATGATGTGAGACCGGAGTTGTCCTCCTTCCTCCTGGTACCTTTGTCATCTGGTACAGAAGAAAGGATTCTTACCAGAACTTAATTTCCAAGGGATCTCTTGGCACTTTGAGCAGAAAACAGAATGACAGAGAAAGGAGACCTTAAAAATAGGATTCTTTACTGGCACAAAGAGATTAGTTCAATACTATTAACAGTGCCCCCCAAGCCCGATTTGATTCATAGATACTACTACCCAATATCCCCCTTCACCCCTTTGTGCTATTAATATTCTTCCCCCCAAAAATCAAACACATTGGGCATTATAAGTGTCCAAGAACATTAATCTATGTTCTATTCCACAAAAATCCAAGGACAAAGTAAATCCCACCAACATAGCTCAGTTTCTTGGGGGTGACTCCAAATATGTTCTTTAACCTAAAGATCAAACAGTTTGAACCTTATGGATGTTCACTGACTGATGAACTTACCCCTTGGGACTGAAACACTGTCAAGCCAAGAAGAGGAAGAAGAGTAGGAGGAAGAAAGGGAAAAATAGAAGAGAAGGTCAAAGAAATAAATGCAGAAAGGGCAAGTGTTACATTGTATACTTTTTGTTCTGTAGGAAGTTCTCAAGCTTGGCTTTTATCCTTTTAAAAAGCTACTATAATTAAAAGAAATAGTAAATTCTTACCTTTAAAGATATAACAGCAGTAAACCACTGGAATTTAAAATAGCTTATACATATACAAGTATATCTTTAGATCACTTGGTGAAATTCTCCAGAATATTTTACTTTGTCCTATATGATTAAATAAGCATATAGTTTTCTGGGTGAGAAATTGATGTCAAAGTCAAAATGTCTTTCACAGCATATTGAGCAAAATGCAATTAGCTGAGGAAGATACTGTGCTAAGAAGGAGGGAACAGTTTTAGAGAGAAGGTTCAGTCAGAAACTAATTTTCTTTTATTCAGAAAAGGATGGTATCCCAGCATACACAGAAGCACATCACAGATGTTTAAGTGCACAACATGTAAACCTAATGAAAATTTCTCTTTAAAATAACTGTTGGTATACTCATGACATCTTTAGAGTAAAAAAAAAATCAAATAAATACGTGTCATGTGGGATTCTAGTCCCCTAAATATAACTTTGAACCTCTAGTGAGCTCAAACTCATGAATAAATGAATAGCAGGCTGAGTGAGTATCTCCACAGAAGCCTTAGATGAGTGTAGATAACCAGAATTCTTTAGCAATGAGGCAAACCATAGGGGGCAACTAAAATTTCTGTTAGCTCCTTTCTACCTCCTCTCTATCATAAAAAACAAAATTGATTTGTTTTTAGATAAAAGAATAAGAGGAACAAAGGCATTTGGCTGGAGTTTACACTTTACTTAATGATAACCTATTGGTACTAGTTTGTCAGATCACGCTGATAGAGATTTAAACTAAATGTGACAAGGTATGTTTAAGATGAAAAAAAAAGAAAAGAATTGGATTATATGTAATTGCTGTGAATGAAAATCAAAGAAAAAAATGAAATATGATCCCAAATAAATTTGACAGACTGAGTGGTTTTTCGTTTGTTTGTTTGTTTGTTTGTTTGTTTGTTTTTTGGCCATCCCCTCTGCCATCTAGTCATTCTTTACTGATAAAAACATATTCAAATTCCATCAAGACAGTTGTTTCCTTTTGTAGTTGAGATTTATTTAAATATCATTTTTTAAGAAAGAAAAGAGTCCAGGTAGCTTTTAAAAAGCCAAATATATAGTTCATTGTAAGTAGATGACTTAGATATCTATGAAGTAATTTTCAGTGTGTTCGATATCTGTCACATCACTCTTAGAGTTCCACCAGATACATTTTCTTATTTTAAAGACTGAACCATGTGTATGTACTAAAATTAATGTACCTGGAAATAACAATAATGATATCATAAAGATGTACCAAATTTAATAAATATTGCTTTTATGGTGAATAACAACAAATAACATTTTTCTGTTTTAAACATTTTTGGAATGTATTTATGTATTATTTCTTTCTCCTTTGACAAATGTAGAAGCTAGTCTAATTTCCATACAAATTCAGTGGTATATTTAAGAGACTGTCATTACAATGCCATTTACTTAATTTCTTGGTTTAAAAAAAAAGGAGATGGAGGAGAAAGAATGAAGGAATGAAGAAAAGGTATTAAAAACCTGTAAGTATGTGTTAAAATGATATGCTATGTGATGATATACATACACATTCAATGTATTATATGCTCAGATTAAAGCTTTCTCTATTTGCTTATTCAATGGAACTCACGAGATAATGTGTGAAAGATCAGCTGCATTTAGTATGTATCTCCAGTCTACAAATAGAAATATCTATACAAATGGAACATAAATTACTCTAAGAGACTTAGGAAGTCAAACCAATTACCAAAAGTTAAAAATATGACATAAAATTGTCATATCCTACATATTAATGTTTAGAATTATTGTATTTTACACCTAAAATATTTTTTTCTGAACCAGTGTAGCTTTCTATACCAAGTGTATGTGTGTGTGTTTGTGAAGAACAGTCTTTTGATGTATTTTAGGTGACACACTGCTCTGTATTAAACAGTGGCCCACTGCTCTTCTGAATATCCTATTTGCTCATTTGAGAAACAATTTCTAAAAGAATTATTCATTGCTCCTCTTTACACATAAATTTTAGAAATCATTCACCACATTTGGCCAAAATTATTTTCAAAGCATATACAGAGAGGAAAGACCACTAAACTTTTTCCTACCTACATGTGAGAGCTTGCCGGCATCCAACTCCCAGGCTCTTGGGCCTTTATTTAATCCCAGCCTTTAAATAATTCAGATAACAGTTGATTACTCCATTGCAAGAACTGTTGAGCTCTGCAAAATGTGAGAAACACAATATTTCCTACATGAGAGAGCCGACCTCAGATAGTAGATGTCTAAGTAAAATACACTTCTTGAGACCGTACCATGCAGTCTATTTTTACATGTCTATATATAAACTCTGGCGAATACTAATGTGCTTTACTACCACGTAATCCTGCATGCATGCTTTCATTACCAAGCCATCTAGTACTACAGCTTAATTTGGTCAATTTTCAATCCCTCATCCATGTATTTTCTGGATTTCAAACCTTTTTAGAATCATAACAAGTGAGATGGTTAGTTATGTTACTCAATAATCCAAAAGTGCACATAAACGAAAATTTAAGCTTCAAAGAATTTCACATCCACTGCTATTCCTTTAGTAAATAATTGTTTTATGTCTTTTAACAACCAAGACTCAATATCTACTGCCTCTGTTCCCTTGTAAACATCAGCCAATATAAAAGAGATTGGCTCACCTGACTAAATTACAACCTGAGTAACTGAGCAACAGGAAACAGACAGGAAAAACAAAAACAAAAACAACAGAAAGAGAGAAAGACAGAAAGGAAGGAAGGAAGGAAGGAAGGAAGGAAGGCAAGCAAGCAGGCTAGCTTCCATTCCCAGTCAAAAAAGTGGCAAATCTTTACCATCAAGAAATGTCTGGGTAAGTTCTGGATTGATTAAATTTACCCATAAAGCTGACGTATGCACCACTTTGCTTTGATGTATATGACTGTCCATAAATATCTGAACATGTGTTTGTAATTACCACGTACCAGAATAAGTGAAAGACACGAAACCAGATCACAAACATCAAATAAGCTCTGTTTTAAAAAAAAAAAAATTACCAATTCTGAGCAAAGAACCCACTGGCTCTGGTGGTATGGAACATTTTGAACCGTTTCTATCCCTGAAACTATTCATCACTTTCTCTCACTTCAAGCACAGGCATAATAGTTCTCTCTACTCTAACAAGCGAGTTCTGTCTTCTTCTATCTCGATCATGAGACATCATGAAGTAGAAAAATCTACAGACTGCATTCAGTATCAGCGATAAGCAGCGCATTCGACGATTGCTCATACCATTTGGAAACCAGTGCTCACAGGACGGCTGGCCTGACACCTCATCCATCAGCAGGGTGCCCACAGCAGAGTGGACAGTCTTCCTTGCACCATCTCCAGAGTGGAGGCCCAGCTGGGGAACAGCCTTCTCTTCCAATAGCAATTAGATCTTTAAGATCAGGCCTTAGCAATTTGACCTAAAGCCATCCTTCCTTGAAACAAAGTCTTCAGAAGAAGAGACTGGGAACAAGGCAAATGAGAAATGCAAGTCTCTGTGGCCTGGTTAAAAACTTTGTTGTGTCAAATAAACTTTGGCCACCGGAGGAAAGGACTCTATGGTTGCTCTGGCTTTAGAAAGCTCTGTCCCAGGCTTCTCAATCTTCTTTTCACCTCTCCCACTCTCCCTCTCTCTCTCCTCTCTTGTTTCAAAGGGGCCTCTGGTCAGCGCTGATTAATAAGTGTTTTTTGTTGTGAAGTGTTGAATAATAGGGGATGGCCGGTGACCCAGTAAAGACTGAACCTTGCGCTGGTTTATTGTGGCAAGCTGAGAAAGGGGCTTTAGGCCCAAGACCGCAAGCACTGACCCGCACACATCCCGCGGATCGCCTATTCATTCTCACAGCCCTGCAGTCGCCCAGGCTCCCATTGTTTGCCAAGTAACAATGGAGATTTCGCAAGGAACGCAAAGCTCCTTTCAAACCCTCTCTGATGTTTTGCATTTAGGGAAACAACGACCTTCACTTTTTCTCTCGACATTTTCTATCACCGCAGTTAAAGTGGATGGGTTTTCAGGGATAACTTGGGTAGAGTTTGGCGCTTGTTTGCGGAACGCCAGCGTCTAGCAGAGACTAGACCGGTGGAAAAGAAGAGCCCCAGAGATTTCCTTTTTTGTCCCCCCTTCTTGTTCTTAATGCATTTAGAGAACGGAAGCCGCCTCTGGGGAGAAGGGGGAGGGGAAGGGAGAAGAAAGCGTTTTCTTGGCACGGTTGCCGGGCGGGGGCTTGGCGGCCGAGGCCGAGGCCGGGCGCCGGCCGCTCATCGCGGACCGTGAAGTGGCGGGTCCCAGCCGAAGGCACTGCGGAGTCTCTGCCCGTTTTCCTCGGCCGGCCTTCCAGCTCGGTCTCCAGCTCTGGAGCCAGCTCCACCACTCCCCTAGTCCCTCCGGCCTCTCCACCCCCGGCGGGATGCGCTCCGGGGCGGCCACAGCCTCGAGGCATGGGAGTTGGGGGGCAGGGGGGGAGGAGGGGACAGCGACAGAGAGCTGACGCCCGGAGGCCAGGGCGGCTCCGCCTGAGATTTCCTTGTGCTGAGCTCTCTCGCAGCCGGCCCAGGCAAGCCGTTGGGACAGGAGACCCAGCTGGGGGCAGCGGGGCCAGGCGAGGTTATGGTGGAGATGGGGCCAAGCCTGCTGCGGCCACAGCATCTCCAGACGCCTGGCGTCCGCTGCCCTCGGCCGGGCAGTAGGCAGCCACCTCGGCCCGGGACTAGCCAAGGGGACCCGGGGTCCGCGAGGACGTGGCAGCCTCCAGCACGGTGTCCTCGGCTTCTTCCAAACGCTCCCCGCCTTCCCGCACGTGCAAGCGAGACGGGTCAGCTGGGCAGGCCGGACGCGGAGGCCGCAGGGAATCGGGGTGCTAGCGGCGATCTGAGGCCCACACTTGGGACCCCCGTTGTCTGGGAGCTCGGCCGCCCTGGGTAGGCCTAGCGCGCAGGGCGGAGGCCAGGCCATGACTCCCGAGAGGGGTGTCGGAGAGGACTGTGCGAGGCGCCCCCCTTCCAGGCCGGGTCCGTTGCCCTCGCCCCCTCTGTGGCCGCTCCTACTTCGAGAACCCCAGCGCTTACACCTTTTCCCTGAGCTGGAAGCTAAAGCCTGGGCGTTGCGCGACCCCCGCGGCCTGGGGCGCGCACTAATACCGGTGTCTGGGTCGCTGCCAGCGGCTCAGTGCACCCCAAGGGTGCCTCGCCCCAGCTGGGAGAGGAGGAGGAGGAAGAAGGTTAGAAAATAGCAAAGGAGAAGAACGGCTGCGAACCTAGGGCAGCACAGTGGGAGGAGGGCTCATTGTCCGGTCCCTTCAGTCCAATTGATATGCTAATCTCTTTTCTGATGCGATACAAAGAACACCTTTGCACTTTTAAAAGACTTTTGTGCCCTGGCTACAGAAGTTTATTATCCACTAATTAGCAACAACTTTTGGCAATGAGTTGGGTTACGTTTTCATAAACTCGCTCTGGCTATGAGGTGTGCAGGGCAGTACGAGGTTCGCGTGCAGAGAAAGCCCCTAATCCGGGGCTAGAATGCGATCACTAGCCCAGTTTGCTGGGCTGAACTAGGTGGGAGACCCGGATCAAGTGTTAAGGGTCTGTAGAAAATAAAGATTCTGTTGGAAGAATGATTTTGCTGGATTCGACTGTTTTCTATCCCCTGAGCTTTCCGGAGGCGATGGCTGTAGTTGGCCCGTCCATCTTACTTGGGTGGATGGGAAGTGAAAACCTTGAGCGAATGTTCCAGCGCTAGCCTTTGATTCTTGAGGTTTTTCTTGGAGGGCTTAGTTTAAGACAACGAAGTATTCAGGAGAGGCCCATATCTAGGAAACGCAAGGATAGCTTGCTTACCCTCTTAAGGTCTCCCCCAAACCCTGAAAGTTGCGGGAGCCCGCGACAGAGAGAGAATGCTGGGTAAAGTGCCCACCCTGGGTGGTCTGAAGTCGCCACCCCACCAAGCCAACCCTCGTGGCTAACCAGACCTCAGCACAGCGTCTTCCCCGCAGCGGGATGCACTGCACACTCCGTGACCTTGCCCCTCCACAGGTTACGCAAGTCCTTAAGGATCTTTAACAATCCCACATCCTAGGTCAATAAACTGAAAACGGATAGAATGAATATCCTCAGTGAAAAGATACGAGGAGGATGTACCTGGTGCCTCCCCAAAACAATGTCCTTTGCTCCAATAAAAACATCGACCCCGAGGCCTGCGTTTTGTCCAGGCTCAGCCTCAGAAACGGTATTTTGTTTCAGGCAATTTGAGCCCCCAAACAAAGCACTTTGTAACTATGTTATACAAACACACAAGAGTGTATCATTTGTTTAGATTTTTTTCTCTCATATTTTGTTTTTTACTTTTCCAAAGGACTCCATAGAAAGGTTTGCTGGATATTTCAAGCACATGTCAGGTGGCTAGCCGGCTGTGCATCTTCCGAACATTGCAGTTTTAGCCCAGTTCACTTTGCCCTATGTTCAAGGTGAAACGCGGCCTAACTAAAAGCCCGAGGTGACTTAGGGTATCAAAGAGAAAATTCACAGTCAGGAAGGAGTGATTGTTCTGTTTTGTTCCCATTGGGTGAAATGGGATGTGGTTCTCTGCTATCCTAACTTCTCTGACATTCTCATGCAATGCTTCTTCACTAGCGTTGTTAAAACTAGGAAATGGCGTAGGGGCTGACAGTAGACTTAACAGCAAATTGCTGGAAAAAAAAAAAAAAAAACAAAGATCTAGCGGTATTGGAGTCTACAATTTCCCAGAAGACAGGAGTCTAAATAGTCCCTAGTCATGGCCTTGTGTGGGGTGAGTGAGTAGGTGAGAGAGAGAGAGTGTGCGTGTGTGTGAGGAAGAGGGGTCGTGGATTTACCACCCTCGGCCACCTTCATTGAGATACAACAATGGCTCGGCCTGGGTTCTTTGGAAAGAGAAACTGCAGGAATGCTGAGTTGCTCTTTGTGCCCCAACCTGCTCCCAGGAGCGGGAGCTAAACCCTCACCCCTCAGCACTGGGCGGTGTCTACCTTTTGAGGATTCCTCTGAGACTCTGCAAGCAAGATAGGCGCTTGCCCCATGTTCCAAAAGGCCCCCTCTGTGGCAGGAAGAAACCTGATCAAAATCCAGCAACCTCAGACTTCACTAGAGGCAGAGCAGGGAAGAGCTGGACACCTCCCCTGCCCCCAGCAAGGCCCGTTGGGTCTCCCCACCACCACCACCCTACCATCTGATAACAATAAATTCTGATTCTATTTCATATTAAGAATTTATTTATTTATTTATTTATTTATTTAATACTTCAGATCTTCCCAAACAGCTTAATTTCCTTCCAAAGCGAAGGGTTAATTTTTAAAAAGGAATTAAAAGAAAAAAATTTAAAAAGGAAAAAAAGAAAGGCTCTAATTTAGAGCAATGAAGGATGTTATCTGTGTGACCTTGACATATGAATGGGGGAGGGGCATGTAGGTTTGGGTCCAGACCCTTGTCCTCTAAGTATCTGGGACTTTCTAGGCCCTGGCTAAGAACACCAAGAAGAGGAGGGATTTATTTTCAAAGGTTACCATTAGCGGCTCACTCGCTGAAGTTGGGAATTTGGTATTTTTATATTTCGTGAAATTCATGATTTAATTATACTCCTAAAACAAATTAAGGGCAGGCCTTCTACACAAATTGGAGGCAGCTAAATGCTCTTTTGTGCCTGCAGCCCTCGGATTGTTAAAGAGGCTGCTGATGCATGAGAAGAAGGGACTGATTTAACTCATTGGGATGCAGGAAGCGACCTGCCCTCTTTTGAAAAAAAAAAGTGAGAGAGAGAGAGAGAGAGAGAGAGAGAGAGAGAGAGAGAGAACACTAGCTATAGAAGAGCAGGAGGGTGAGTGACAGAGAAGGGAAGAAGAGGAGAGAGGAGAGGAGAGGAGAGGAGAGGAGAGGAGAGGAGGTGAGTGGAACACGCAGAGGGAGGGAGACCAAACCCCCTCTTTGCTGCGTTGAAAGCTTCTGAATTTCAAGCAGAAAGTAGAAGGAGCCCCACACAGCAATATTCGTCTTTTCTTGGGCTGCGTGTGCAGAGCGTAGACAATGAAAATCTCCATCCCCCTCCCCCATGCTCTAGCCTACAAGATTTTTGTTTCTTTCCTTCTCAACGATGGAAGCCATGTAAAATCAAATATACAGAGATGCGCATTCATTCTTTAAAGCACAGACTAGCAAACCAAACGAGCTGACCGCGGATTACCCAAACGCGCACCTGCTGTAAGTACTGTCTTTTCCTGGGTTTTTGAGCTCTGCGTCGCGCTGTGAACTGAGAGTGTTCCCTTTGTGAGCAGCCTTGCTGCCTGTGTCTGGATGTTTTTATTAATAGGGACTCCCCGGATTGTTTTTTCTGCACCTGAGCGGCAGCATTTCGCTTAGGGTTTGGATAGTAAGTGGTGGCTTGGAGCCCCGGGCTGGGGGCAGGGGAGGCGCACAGATCAGGGCTTCCCGCGCACTGAACATCCTTAAGAGCTGCTGCCCTCTCAGCATCCAGGCTGCAAGGTTGGTTCCCAGCGCTCCAAGGAAATGGGTCAGGGAGATTTGAGAGCTCCGGGGCTATCTCAAGGAGCAATGGAATCAGGAGGGATCTTAGACCGGGGGAGGATGCGCTTCCACCCCCGCAATACACCTAGCATGGAGCCCTCCGCAGCCCACAGCTACGACCCCTTGTCTGGGGAGACTTAGAGTGACTGCGACCAGCGCGCTGCTAGCACTGAGCCTTTGGTGCGTCTTTTATCTAAATCTCAAAGCTAGGATCTTCTATAGACCATGCATGGCTAAGGGAGGGTGTGTGTGTGTGTGTGTGTGTGTGTGTGTGTGTGTGTGTGTGTGTGTGTGTGTCTGACAGTGCCCAGACAATATAAATTGCCATTCGGGGAAGACATTTTCTAGCCTCTTGAAAATGTGCAAGAATTCTACGGCCCACGCTTTCTTTGTGTGGCGGGCAGCGCCAAGCTCTTTGTGTTTCGCAAGTAGAAAATGGCGAGTCCTATTGTGTTTAGGCCATTTTCTTCCGGTATAAGGATTTCTCAAGTTTTCAATACTTTGAGGGGTAAAAGCAAGGAGCAGCCCTCCCATACCCGAAGAAGCGCTAAGGCTAAGGCTGGGCCCCTTGGCCTGGTGGGTATGGACCTTGCTTTGAAACCAAGAGTCTGTTTTCTTGTTTCTCAGATGCTTGTATTGAAACAATTTGTGCTGGTCTGTGCCCTATATGGGGCCATAGGAGTTCTTGGGGTTTTGGATCATAAGTGCCGTGTTATACACACATATGAAAATAACACCCCGTCCTGGTAATCTTGAAGGAGAAAAGGGCAGAAGTGGGGGGGACCCAACTATTTGGATGCGGGGTGGTGGGGTGGTGGTGGTGGTGGTGGTGGTGGTGGTGGTGGTGGTAGTGGTGGTGAGTATGATTTTATTTTTCCTTTCTTTTTTCATACCCTGGAGGAACCCCAGGACAAAGTTATTGTTACTCTACTCTGTCAGTCTTTAGATTGTTTGAAAACGTAAGACAGAATGCTGTTTGCTATTGGGACAGAGAAACTACTTAGCCACTACATCATCGTGCCTTCCTTACTACCTTAGAAAGTATGGGTTTACAGGAGGGATTCTTTTTAATTGGCTCATCTCAGGTGTGCGATAGCTATCTACACTGTCCACCACTGTATGAACATAAAATAAAGACAGTGAGATGTCCCAGACGAGTATCTCCCCCCCCTCTCTCCCTTTGTGTATTATTTTTATAAAAATTTCTTGCTCTAGTTTAAACCATATTCAAAAGCAGACAAAGTGGACTCTACAAAACTAAAGAATATCCGTGTTATTTTTCTTAACCAAAGAGGAAGAGGGGGAAAGAGGAGGGCTGATAGACAAATTTTATATCCTACTTATTACAGATCTTTGGGTCCATACATAGAGCAATCATTTGTCAGTTCAAGAAAAATGAAATGTACCCCCCCCCCCACACACACACATACACACACACACTTTTTCTGGTACTCTTTTTGGTGACAGATACAGGGAAAAAATGAAATGACTGGACTGAAGAGGAGGATGTAAGGCCTTTATACCCCTTTCCTCCTTTTACACAATCTCCAACCGTTAGGAAGTCAAATGACCGCAGAAACACCTCGACTTTACATTTCCCCAAAACGCCCAGAGCTTGTTCTTTCATATGAATCAAAACCATGGACAGCGAACTAATTATTTAGCAAACAGAATCCAGCAAAATTGTTTGAGTGTGGAAGGGAAGTTTACCTTCGTAGTATCTGTTGGAGGAAAAACAATTCTTACTATATTTTATAACAATTTGAATTAAATTTCGAATTTAAACTAAAATTAGATTTTAAATTTAAGTCACACTGTATACACATTTCTGCCAAATTTTAAAGAAAAGATAATTTATATGTCCATTTTTTGCCCTTTCTCACAGGTATAACTTCTCTACTCAACTAAAGGTCATTTCTATCTTCTGCTACTCATAAATAACAATTTTGAACGCACAAATTTTGTTATGCGCTGTTCCTTGTATGATTCAAAGGGAGTAGAGAAGGAGAAAATTTACTGTTTTGCCTGGGATTAGCTGGACAACATTGTAGCAAATTAATAGATTTTTATCAGTGACTGGGACTCTAAATGCACAGAATTGGAAAAATTAAATGCCACTTTGATCGACAGGAATAGTATGAATGGAGATATGATGGTGCTACCCCATTTCCTCCTGGATAGCCACGGTAGCACACTAACAGTACAATAGTTAGACAAACATTTATTTTTTCTCAAGAAAGTAACAGACTTTCTCCTATATACTGATCCAGTTTAGAGCACAGGATTGGCTCTCTTTGGCTCTGTGTCAAATATCCACGTTGTTTTGTCCATGGGTTTCATTACCTTAACCTTTTCAGAAATGAGCTCCATCAAAATTATTTTGCTTTGTATTATGTAATACACTGAAAACTGCTCATTTAAATTTCCACCTTCAACCCTGTGACATCTGACTTATTTTGTAAGAGGTCTTCTTTGTGACCGGTAAAGGCCTAGAAGTTCATATAAATCACAAATTAGAAAAATAAAATAATTTATATTTAAATTTAAAATTAAATTAATTGCAAGAAAATGAATTATTGATCTTTAGCCATCACACTTGAGCAAAGAATGAAATTGCAATTCTTTAAAATGTCCTCGTTTCTTAGAGTAGATGATAGAGATATTTTAGACACCCGTATTTAAAAACAAACAAACAAAGCAACATCTTCAAAGCATTTGAGGAGAAAACTCAATGTCATTTGATGGTATCCTGATCCTTTCCATGATGGGATTTTGTGGTTCTTGTAATGGTGGCCCAGGGCTCCCTGAAAGCAGAGATAGTTTGGAAGGGAGTCATTGTTTAGGAAGGCACTCCATCGGGGCTGCACTCATAAGATTAAGGATAATTTTAGACCTTGGCCTGGGGAAAGGACGATCGTGGGGTTGAGAAGGTGCAGATAAGCCTTGGCCATAGAATTAAGAGGTGGTCCCTCATCTGAAGTCTGGCTGTGTGCAGCCGGAGGGAGGTGCTTATTGTTCATGCCCAAGCCCTGGGGTGCCAGATCCTAGGTGAGGAAGGAGAGAGTAGTTCACTGTCTACATTTTAGTGAAAGGAAACTAAGTGTGCTGACTTGGATTTGCCTTGAGCCAGCCTGGACCTTGACAGGGGTCTGGGGAGTGCTATGGGGAGGAGCGGGGGGCGGGGGCGGCGGGGGGGGGGGAGAATGAGCAGCTACATTTTAGGGAGTTGTCTTGCGGCCAGTGTGTTGGAGCCCAGGAGAGTGTAGGCAAGGGCAAGGCGGTTGCCCTTTGCATTGCCCAGGCGCGGCTCCTGGGGGCTGCGCGCCTTCTGCGGCTCTTTGGTTTCAAGGACACTGCGAGCTGTTCAGGACTTTGGGAGCCAACATCTGTCTGACTGGTGACGTCAGCAGCCCGTGTAATCCTCTTGTGCTGAAGGCAGATGCCTTATTTGTTTGGCTGGAGCGAGCCATTAATCCCTAATTCTGGATCAGCAAGCGAGGGGGAAAGACCGGACCGCTACGATCCACCCACTCCCTGCCCCCACCGCCCACCCTAAAGCACCTTATACCGTGGAAGCCGATCAGCCTCCTCTTTCCTCCTAGAACACGTCGAGCAGCGCCTGAAAACGCTTTGGTCCTCTGAAGGTTTGAGCAGAGCTAGCAGCTCTTTCTCCTTCGGATTTCTAGGGCTATGTGTATATGCAATTCTTTATTTCATCGATCGTTTCGATTTTCTTGTGGGGACTCTTCAGTCTTGCAGTTTGCAGGATCTTAAACCAAGAAGGGGTGGAGATTGGAGAATGCGGTTCTGGCGTGTGGTCTGAGGGAGGGGTTAGACCGGTAAGGGCGCGCGGGATGCGCGAATCGCTGGGACTGCACAGAGGACAATCTGAGGACTCGCTTTCAGGACTCCATATCCGGAAACCACTTCTTTGGTCCTGACTGCATCCTCTCAGCTTCCGAAGCCGGGGCTGAGTTCGCAGCTCCCTTGTCGCCCGGCCCATTGAGGAGAGCCCCCCGGCTCAACTCACTAGGTCCGGTCAGAGGGGTCACCTCCGCTCCCTTGAGTTCTTCCTCCCGCCTCCCGTCCCTCCTCTTCAGCTTCCCCCTCCTCCCTCCGCCTCCTGCTCTAATTCTGCCCTTTGATTCTCTTTTTCAGGGGAGCGTTCTGGGGTCTCTGCACAAAACCTGCTTTTGAGCTCTTCGGCTTCCTCCGAGAGAGCTGGAGCCCGTCCTTCCCCCTGGCCCACCCAGCCGCAAGGGACGCTGTGAAAAGAGCCGCTGCCCACCGCCTCCGGCCCCGCTGTCCGGAGGACTCCGCCCATAGAGGTCAACTCCCCTCACTCTTCCTCTTTCCAGTTCGCCCTCCCTCCGCCGAGCCCCTGACTCGGGTCTCCTCCCGACTTTTGCCGCAGAGAGTGCATATCTGCTGCGCTGCCCTTAACCTGCGCCGGGAGCAGACTCAGACCAGATCTCTGTTCTCCAGAGCCGGAGGAAGCCCGAGCAAGCAGCCTTTTCTCCCTGCAGTAAAACCATAGCCAGACCAGATGCGCCCCAGCTCTCCCGGGACTCGGCAGGTGCTGTTGAGTTAATTTTTCCGCCATACAAAGAAGGATGACCTAGCCCGCCCTGGGATTCTGATCTTTCCCCCAAATTTCCCAACCAAAATTGGGGTATCAGAGGCATATCCGTGTGTTTGTCGGACATACAAACATGCATGTTTATGTTCGTTTTATCTGCTAGATTTCTTCTCCGATGGCAGGAGATGACTGACAAAGGTTTCTTCAGCAGAACACGCATGGCGTGGTCCTTAAAGACTTGCTTTTCCTTACAGATGTCTTAGGAAGGGATTCAGGGCAAACCAACTCAGTTAATTGCCTTCAGTAAAATAACACGATTACGAAATTAGATCTGTACCAGAGGGGTAATTAACTTCGATCCGTGCCATCATTTGAAAACTAGATTTATAGACGTATGTATGGATTTTAGGTGCGCTGTAAATGGCATGCAGATGTATGCATAAGTATACGCAAGCTCATGCCCCATCTTCTCTTCCACCACGCAGACTAATTAACGGCAACTCTAGCAGATGTGACAGGAGGAGAGCTGAGATGGAGCACTGCTCTGAGTTACGACCCTGGGGGTAGGGACTCCAAGCCGGAACTCTAGGGGAGGCTGAAGGGCAGAGAGGAAAGTGTGATAGTTGCAGTGAGTCAGTTGCTTCTGGATCAAGATCAGAGACTCTGCCCTCCGTGTTCACAGCGGACCTTGATTTAATGTCATACAATTAAGGCACGCGGTGAATGCCAAGAGCGGAGCCTACGACTGCACTTGAAGGACATCAGAGAGACTCAGGGTCGGAAAGGGTGGGGAGAAACAATTGCAGGCGTCACGGAAGGGAGCTAGAATGAACCCATCCTGTGCAGCATAAGGACTCCTTGCATTGATTCAGAATCTTTAGAATGCAAGAGTCATATGTTTTTCAGCCAGAGTCCGGGAACCCCGCATGCATATCCCCAAGGGGAATATTAGAGGTTTCATTGACAGCTGTCAGGAGAACAGTAGCTCCCATTGGTGCAAATGGTCTAGAAAGTCCGCATTCGGAAGCGCTGGCCTTTTCAAAACAGAATGAGGTTGTTCTCAATCCTGGGCTGAATTGGGAAAACAAAATAGGAGAGGGAGTCTAGCATTAGATAGCGCCCAGACCACATTGCACAAGAAACCTCAAATGACTCAGTCATCTGTGGAAATAGGAACATCCGGTCCCCCATAGCCCTTGACTTCTCCCATTCTCTACCCAGTCTCATGGCGGCCTTGTCTAGCTTTAAAAGACCAAGGCGAAGTCGCAATACCCAAATCAGTCAAAGTTGTCGAATCACGGGAAAGACCAAGCCAGAAACTGAGACTTGGTAAATTATTCTATTTGGAAGACCATGAGGTAGACTTAGTTAAGGTAGGTCCACTCCACAACCTTGGAGCCTAAGAAAACCAAGGCTGAGAATGAGCTTTGACGCAAGTCTTTGTTCTGATGTGGCCTGCCTGGCCTGGGAACAAAGGCGAGGCTGGGCGAGGATGAACCAAAGTGGCCGCGCCCTCCGCGCCTTGCGCTGTCCGTGGTGCTGACAGGACCCTCTTCCACCTTCTCCTCCTCTTCTTCCTCCTCCATATAAACCCGCAAGTAAGGCAATAAAATCGCTTCTTCCCTACTATAAAACATACAGGATATTAAGTAATTTACAAATAAAAATTTGAAATGGGAAGACAGTAAACAGCTAAACAGTATTTTACTGAAACTGTCCACTCTATTATAACAATCAGTTGGTTTGGGTTGAAACCCGAATCCGAGTAGTGGACAAAACCTGAAAAAAGACATGAAATAGTAGAAAAATTTGTTTTGTTTTTCTTAAACCACAACCCTGAAAACAGAGACACGAGGTTCTCAGCTGAGGATCTTAGCGCAGATGTGGTCACCAAAGGTACCTTTCAAAGGACCCCAGAGTGTGCCTCAAGATATATTAAAGAGGATAATACTGGAGTGATTAGCTGACCAGGGCAGGCAGGAGTAAAGCAGCCTGAAACCACTGTCTAGGCTCTCAGCGGGGATCCGAATAGGGCAGTCTTCCTAAATGAGTTCTGAAGCCAAGACCCACAGAAGGACCGGCTCTCTGGTGCTCAGGAGCTGATACTGAGCACCACCTCTCAAGGAGACACTGCGGGCCCAGAGGCCTGAATCCCGCATTGCGGGAGAAATCAGACTGCAGAACTCTCCTCCTCATAGCTACTCTGGACCGGACCTCTAGAGGCAGGGCAGATTACCAAATTACATATAATTAAGATTTGCCTTAGGACTTGTGGGTCAGATGGGTCTGAATTAATGCATCCAATGTATATTTAAAATGCTGAGCCTATTTCAACATTTTAACTTAAACATCGAGAATATATATAAGCAATAAAATATTAAGTTCTATAGTTAATCATATTTGCAATGGAAAGAGAAATAGGCAATAAATTGATTTGCATCCAGCCTAGGCCCAAGAAAGAAAATATTCCATGTTTGAGTATCTTTATAGATTCACATCATAAATGCTGTCAAACATCGGCCATAGATAAACTGAACCAGGTTGTACAAGAGAGACAGTGGCAGCAATTTTTATGCAGGCCTAGAAATGGGCTATATATGGACAATGGCCTAAAAGATATGTTTTTATAACATTTATTCTCTTAAACCTGAATGACGGAAATGTATCCACTGACTTAGGAAATAAAAGAGGTCAGAAACAATATCCTTGGTGGTCTAATTCCTCCTCACTCCGTCCTGAAAGGTGGATTTTATTTGTCTTCTGATTTTAAAACTCTGTAAATTACCACTTTCATATGCACAAATTTCAGTTCTGTATTGATTTCACACAATACGGGGAAGGGGGAATGGAATTTGCAAAACTGTGTTGGGAAAAGAGCTATCTCAAATACAAAGAAAACGGCTTTAAGATGTTCTTCTTGTGTCAGTGAAAAACAATCACCAGAATTGGAAATGAGTCTGAAGCATTGCAGGCTGTCACAGAGGTTCCTATATCCTTCCAGTATTCATCCAGTTGTATTGATGAACTCTACCCATAGTCCCTTGAGTATTTCACAAAGTAAAAAGGGTCTAAGGCTTCAAAACAGTCCTCTTTGCATTGTTGCAATTCATATTACATAATAAGAACACACTAATACTCCCCAACCTAATCCTATTTGTTTAAAATCGTCCTAAACGCTGGTTCCAGAAAGTTTAATCAGTTAAAAAATATATTTTCTAAATAGAAACAAAATGTGTCATATGAGAGAATTACAAAAGCATGGGAACAAATACATGATTAAGTCATCTGGTCACCAAGATTAAATCCAGCGTGGTTTCTGATTCATCGTGTTTCTATACTTTTAAAACTATTTATTTTCAATTTCTTTAAAAAAATAGGCATCCAGCCTAATGTCCATTACAAAATTTTCCTGCTATGAAATTCTGTGCTCAGCAGTTTTCCAGCAAAACAACCCAGGTGGACAATTAGAGAGCTTTAGTACAGAGGACCATGGGAGTCCTTCAGCAATCACAACTTTCATCTAGTGGTCTGAAATTAGAGCTTCTCGGAATAATTTAGGAACAGCTTGACCCGTTGAGATGCTCAGGGACAACCCTCTTGGGAAATAGCTTCTTTCCTTCCAGGGAACAAGATGCTAGCCCAGCGAACAGTTATCTGATGTCAACAATGCCAGAGCGCCCTCTGCTGGTCCCCAAGAAACAGCGCACTGGTTACAGAAGCCAGATGGTAGGAGTTTCAGTAAGCCCTGGAAACATTAAGCTCTTAGGATCATTTAATCTGTGGAATTTAAAGGCTCCCATCATATTCTCCGCCTGAAAGGCCACCCGATTTTTATTTTGAGGGCTCCTGGGATGGTTATCTTAGAGGTAGCGAGGAGTCATTGTTTGAAGTTGACTGAGATTCTGTTGGTTGCTTTCTATGTCTTTTTTTTTTTTTTTTTTTTTTTTTTTTTTTGCAGTTTTATAGCAAAATATGAAACTGTAAATCTCAGGAAAAAATCATTCTCATAGGCAGCTGAATATCAAATAATTTTCATTTATTTTATCCATAACTAAAATTTAATAAAAGGAAATATTTTAATTAGAATAAAGATACCAGGAACAGGGTGTTTACTTTATTTTAAAGGGTGTTAAAACAAAAATACAGCCTTACATAAAGAATGATTGTGTTGATTTGTGTTAATTTTACTCTAATTTTCAAAGACTACACTTTTGAATAAGAAAGCGAGTTATGTTTGAGGAAGAAGCTGAAAGTTTTGAGTCATATTAATTAATATATCCAAAAATTCACCTCTGAAATCTTCCTACTGAGTTAATATCAGTACTCAGGTGGCAAAGATCCCAGAAAGTAGACTACTGTGAGTAAAATCATCAGGAATGCAGAAATGGAAGCAGCATGTGTAAAACTCTAAATGTTATTTGTATTTTTCTGTATGGAACAATATATTATAAGATGAAATGGAGGCTTCTTAAAAAATTAAAACCCACTTTTGATTTCACATCTTATGGGGCTTATATTGAGCAAAATAATGTATAACTGTATTGTTTCATCACTGTGAATTAGAAATTCCAGCCTATTATGCGACAGACACATCCTCGCTGCGAGAACTGCTACTCACTACATCGTGCTGGTATAATAAAATGCTTCTAATTATGTGGTTGTTAAATACAACTTCTAAAATAAAGTTCAGTTTATTTTATGATGTCAGAATGAAATAGCTGTTTAATATCTCTTATTTTAATACTAGATTTTAAATGAAAGCTCATAAGAATATCAAGCTAAAATAAAAAAAAACTGATGTTACAATTTGTTTTGGGGGTAACAAGTCTTGATTAAATGTTAAACCAACTTAAATATTTAACCAAGTATGTCAAATTCCATATAGCATAAGTACATCTGTCTTCTGAAAGCTCGTTCTCTGAAGCAAGAATTACCAATTCATAGGAGAGCAAATCAAGAAAAAAAAAGTTATAATTTCTATAATTTAATTCTAAGCATTTCTTTGGAAATGTGAAATATTTTACTTTACATAATTTAATTATTTTCTAAGTAGATTCATATTTTACCCAGCAAACAATATACATATCATAACTTTTCTATGTTCTTAATAGTTATTAGATTTAAAAGCAACTTCTAATAAAAGAAAATGTGTAATACACATAAAATATTTTTCCTCTTTTAAAAATCATTTACTATAAAGAAGGAAAGAAAGAAAATAGAAACAACTAAAATTGCTTCTAAGTAATTTTGTGTATGATAGATTTTCCTCAAATCGATAGCACACACCAGTATTCACCATTCAAATGTGTATGGATGGGTTTTTTAATTTCTCTTTTATATTTGTATATCCATTATGTTTGGATTGTGTCCAAAACGTCTTGACTTTCCTTTGGAGATTTGGAACCCATGGAAACATGAACTTTCACAGAAACAGGATTCTTCCAAGTAGTGTATTTGTGGGAAGCATAAATATGACACAAACAACAAACTGCTAGTGCCTCTATTTATTGATTTAATTGCAATAGTTATGTGATCTTATAGCTGAAATTGACATAGACTTTCATACTTGTGGGACACACACACACACATCCCTGTTTGTGGGCTTCAGATAAGAAAGCAGATTTAATAAGTACCTACTGTATCTTTTAGCCAATATCCAACTCTGCTGTTGCTGCTATTTCTATCAGTTGCTGTTAAGTAACAATTCTGATGCAGGATAGGAATCAAAAACATAATGCTTAAAGAAAAATAATGTGGGGACATAAAGCTGAAATGTATTAATGTAAAATATCAAGTCCATGATTCTAAGTAAACTGCAGAGAAAATATTCACATTGAAGAATAATATTAGAAGTTGAAAAGCCCACACATGGCAAGTACACAGTAGTACAAAGGCAAAACAAGGTACAATGAGAATCAGTACGGTTGCTTTAAAACATCAGTAGAAGACACTATGTGGATGCAAGAAAACCTCAGGATGACTAGATTGCACACAGAGTGTGTTTATTTATCGAACATACTGTAATTTTGATCTTCTTTAAAGAAAGTTGGGGAATATATTTGGAGACTCATGTTAGCAAATTATTTATTATTCAGCTCCTATGAATTTGAAAGGCAAATTTATATCTTTATTTCCTGGTTATTAGACAACCCCAATTTAGTTCTAAAGAGATTACTCTAAATGTAACTCTGTACATAATATGAATTTTAGAATTGGTTGAATGATAGCATGTTGAATAAAATATTTTCTTTCCACCACCGACTTTACATTTTAAAATCTGAGACAAAGTAAAAATGAAATTTAGTTTGCTAAATTGTTCCTTACAGCTTTCCGTGTTCTGAGTCACAATGTATTTAGAAATGCAATTCACTTAAAGTCAATCCCAATGTTTGCTTCCTGGAAGCTCAGGATGCCGTGTTAGTGTGAGGAGTGATAGAGTGATATGGAAGAAGACTACCTCAAGGTCAATTAAAAGGAAGTTTATGCTGCCAGGAAAGAGTAAAGTGGAGAAAGGTATCCTCTTAGAGAAGCTACACAGTGTCTTCTTTCGTTGAGTCAGAACTTCATGCCTGGACATCCTGGGTCTGTCGTGATTCTCACCTGTTCTCAGAGCCAAGTTACATCTGCTGTGTTAATTACCCTGATAGTATCAGGTAGGAGTGAAGTGCAGAAACTCCAAGAACACATTCTTCAAACATACGACTCTTACAAGGTAATATATTTAGATAATATGAATTTCTATTCTGCAAAAGGGTTATTGGTTTGTTTATCTATTCATTGATTCCAAAGACTGAATGTAGAACCTTTTTGTACATGCCAAGCAAGTGTTCTACCACTGAGCTATATATCACCAGACCCACAAAAAGGTTATTTTATACTAGATTTTCCATTCAGGAAACACAAGTATTTATAAATGCCTGCTAAGCCTCAGGAAGTTGTTCAGGGTGGATAAGGGAAGGAAGATGGTGGTATGTACATATAGAACTATCTATGCTATGGATGAAGATTAACATTTAAACCATGGTTGTACAAAAAGAAAGGATTCATCTTTAGATGCACTTTGAATCTACCCCTTCTGCAGTTATCTTATCAGATAGCCTATGTGATAAAAATTGAATGAGACAAGAGGATCGTTAATAAAGTATCATTAAAAATGTCTAGTAAAATGATAGGCTATTCATCTACTCCAGCTGTTGTTATTGCAACACCTTTGTGCAGTAATTAACATTTTCTAAATCTACAAATGCCCTTTCTCACATGAATGAAATTGTTCTACATTAGCCTGCTTCTGCATCCTATCTCACCTGCTAACCATACCTAGTAAAGTAAGTGATTTTAACAATAGCATTGAACATATCTATCAGTCCTAGCTATAAAGACCAATTGTATACCGCAGAACTTGAACCTAGTTTTATTTTAATGTCTCCATCTTGTCAGTATTAACACTTACCTAAGGTTTCTAAAAATAAAACATAGGTCTGTTCATTCCTTCATGGGATGTTTACTTGCTTGTGGCAGGTCCCACTCCAGATGTGGAACCTTCTGTAATAAACAGAACTAATATGATTTCTCTTGTGGTGGAGCTGACAGGCTTTCTTAACATTCTGTCTTCCACTCACCTGAACAAGCAAATGTTTCTTTGATTTAAATTCTTCTCTTTACGTGCCCCAGATTATCCATTGGAAGGAATATTTTCATGGAAAGGAAAGATCATGCTTTGGGGAAAGAACAAAACCAGGGCACCTACATTTTCTTTGGATCCCTCTTTTCTTCCTTTGTGTCTTCCGTAACACTCCATGTTTTCACTGTTCCTTTCCAAGCTGAAAACAGCTGAGGAATATAGAATTCAGCATGCTCTGATGCTGACTGTGAAATATTAACTTCTGTCTCAACTGTGGTTTACAGCCATGCCTCATTTCTTTTATACTCATTCACTGTACATATTTGCTTTCCTTTTTAGGCAGATTTTTGCCTTCATGGTAATGTTCTCACTCAAGTGCCAATCCAAACTCAGCTCTTTGCTCTTATTTCAAGTCATTTTATTTTATTTAATTTTTGGTGTGAATGTGTGGTGCATGCATGTGTGTACAGGTATGTATACCTGTGCATGTATGTATGGATGCCCGAGGTCCATGTCAGATGCTTTCCTGTATTGTCCTCCATCTCACTTTGTCAGTCAAGATCACTCACTGAACCATAGCTCGCTGATTGTGTAGAATGGCTGACCATTGAGCATAAGTTTTTCCTGTCTCTGCCTCCCAGTGCTGGCATTATAAGTGCATATACCCATATCCAACTTTTTACGTGTGTTCTGGAGAGCTAAACTCAGGTCTTTACAAAGCAAACACTTTACCCACTAGTATCCCTGGCCTCCATCTGTGTTTTATTTTAATGAGCCGTTTCATCAATTGTCAAAATTACCTTTATTTTTACATCATATTTTCACCTTTTAATAATAATAATAAAACAAAAACAAAAAAACAGTGGTTAGATGCCAAAAAGTAGGTGACAATACCTTTACCATGTGCATGTTGTTAGACCTAAGTACTTCTTCTATGGTGTTCAAGGAGGGTACTAACTTTTCTTTCCTTTCCTTTCATACAAAACTACATTCTATTTTTGACAGGACACATAAATGTAACTAAATTACACCAACTAAAACATCAGTTGCTTTTATTGTATTGACTAGAAATGTGTTTAAAAAAATCTAATGTAGTTACTAAATTGCCCATAACTAGATCAACATTTCCATGACTTCATTATTTCAATGTTCAAAATAAACATCAACTAATCACTCAGAAGTCTATCCCAAAATAGTCTTCCAGATGTCATTTTTAACCTGTTTAAATAACATCACTACCCAGGAAGTTTTTAGAAGCTCCAGTAAACATGGTCATTCATTTCTCTCCTATTATTGTTTGTTAGCCACCATCTTACCAAGTCCTGTGAAAATGACCAGAGATCACGGTCAGATTTTTCAAGGCAATGGCAGGCACCATGTGTATTAATGAGATAAAACATGTTTCCCATAAGTCCTCATTGTTACTAAACTCATCAATTACCGTGAGGATAAGAACTTCTTCAGCTTCAAGACACTTGTGATATAATATAGTGCTCTTTATAAATAATGTGTTGACTCTGGAATCAGGGCTTCCGTATTTTAAACTGAACCATTACTTTGATCAGTTGAATAATTTTCTGCTGGATTTTAGTTCTGTGAACTTGATTACCCACTCTGTAGCATGTACAGTAAAAATTAGAGCCAGTTTAAATTTTGGATTTTGAGGTGCATTCTTGGCAACTCAATTTAGCAGTTCTGAGACCATTTAAAATAAGCACAACTGATTCTGAAGCTATTGCTCTACATCTTGAGAAATTTCAGGTCAGTATCTAAGCACCCTTTTTGGCTTTCTAAACTAATGGAAATGAATAATTCTAGGATAATCAATCTTATTACTAAATAAACACACCCTAAAAGAATGTATATTTTGGGAAAGTCTTAGTCTTAACATGAAGAGTGCATCAATCTGAGTTTTCCAAAGCAAATGGCAACTTGGGGGTTAAAAATGCTTTAGAAAAAAATGTCTGTGCAAGAGAAAAATAGTGAAGGAATGAGAAAGCTGGGGGAGTGCTCAAAGTACAATAATCCCAAGCTCTAATAAAAAAGAGGCAAGGAGAGATAAAAGGTATATTTTAGACAAATATACCGTCCAGAACACTATGGTAAGGTCGTTAAGAAGTGTTTGAGCCAAAGTTAGCTGTCAAGGAAGACTAAAGTATTTAGAGGGAATTGTATTTTATTACCCCTACCATAGCTGACCACAGATTTGGGGAATGCTTGTGGGAATTGTGGTCTCTGAATGAACACAAAGATAGATTTTGGAATGTAGGTGTGGCATAGTTAATTGGATTCCCTGAAGGTGGAGGTCCATATGCAATGTCCAGCATACAGGATACCACAGGGAGGAAAGCCATTCCTGATATCTGGGTCAGTTGCTAGACAATTTTGCCAATATGCATCAATCATCACAAAACTAGATTTTTCATGAATGGGGTCACCAATCAATGAAACAGATAGAAAACTCAAGAAATATAGAATGACTTGCTTTTCTCTCCAAATGAGTTTGGGATCTCTTATAATTAGAAACTAAGAAAGCAAATGCTTTGACCCAGAAGACATAGACATTACCTCCCTTCTGACTGTATTCATTAAAATTAGTTACATGGGACTGCCATAAATCAGAATCCCACGTTGATCTGGAAGTTGACAGATGCTGATGAAGAGTGATTTTTACCAAAAGGAGACTTCTTGCAAGCATCTTCACTGTATTATATTGAGGCTGACTATCTCACCTCAGAGGGTGATGGGATTTAAGATTCTTATGTGACTGAAATAGAACCTGATTTCACATGCTTTTTGCATATTTTGAAGACAGTGAATTGTGGCAGACAGGGCTTAAACAAAGGATCATAAAATCCCTTTAGGATAAAAATAGGCTTCCTCTGAATTTCTGTGTGATTTTAAAACTCAAGTGACCTTTCTGAGTCCCTGTTTTCTCATTTGAAAACTAGAAGAACAGAATTAGATATCCAAGATATATTCTAGAAAGGAATGAATTCTAGTACCAGTCACATTAATAACAACAGGACTAGAATAGGATGTGGTACGTGCAGTAAACTGTGGAAGGAAGCTCATTTCTACTTCTGGTGAAGGAACTTGAGACTGCAGTTTCAAGACCGGATTCTAGGATTTATTGTTTCTCTCAAGATGCTCCTAGTTATTTTGAAAGTCGCGGTATTCTTGAGATATCTTGGAGAGCATGCCAGCACACATATGCTACAGATTCATCCTTTATATGTTTGATTCTGAGACATATTCTCCCCCAACTCCTTACAGGGTTCTAAGAGGATAAAAAACACAGCATCAACAACTCACAAATTCCCTCTTGGATGCTACCCACGCATGCCCACATTCCAGTCCTCTGGAATCACTCCCCAAATAAGCTACATGCCTATCAGAACCCTTATCTTAGTCAGTGCTTCTTGCAGGAAACCTAGGCTAAGACGTCAGAAAAATGTCTGTTAAATAAGAGAATATAGTATCTAAGAGGGAAGGGACTTATAATGAATGGTTCAACCCTTATCCACTGTATGATTTCACTGCAGAATCATTTTCTATGTCTCAAACGTTTTAAAGGACCAGGCACAGTGATACACATCTCTAATACTGGAATTTGGACCCAGAGGCAGGAGGATTATTCCAAATTCAAGACAAGCCTAGCCTACATAGTAAATTCCATCTCACCATCCCGAAAGCTATGTAGTAAAATTAATTCAAAATAAAATTCGGAAAGAGCTCTTGCCAAGGATATCACTCCTGCATTATCATTCATCTAAGTCCAAGAAAGGGGCTGATTTTATGCAAGTATGAAAAAAATCCAAGACAATGAGTGGTGGCCAACTATAAGGACTCTCAGAAACAGCAAAGGTGTGATTCTCTCTCCAGATCTGTGATTGTGGTGAAAGATGGAAAAATCCCTGAAGGGTGTCTAGATTCTCACAGTTCTTTAGTATTCTTCATCACAAATTTGATAACCCCTGACACGCAAATATGAGGAAAAGAATAAACAATAGAGATCTCTATAATTAGTAAATAAATAAATGCATGCTAGGCATATAGTGCATTTATTTATTAGACAGAAAAATGAATAATAGCCCCCGAAGTAGAGCACATACTTCATGATGCTCTCTGGACAAGCCAGGCCACCACCAGACACAGAAGTTAGGCCTGTGCTGCCTCTCCAACATAACTGAGTGCACGCTGCTCTTAGGCAAATACTGCAGCCGAGAGTGACAGTGAGGACATCCAAGCTGCAGTCAGAAAACACAGAAAAACTGAAATGCTTTTAGATGGCAGACAAAAAGGCTTATCTACCACAAAGTCTGAGAAGGGAAAGAAATACAACACTAACTCCAAATGCATTAGCCTTCATTTAAATTGACACACAGAAAATTTAAGAAATAATTTTGCTCTTGCTGTGGAAACATTCTTAACAATGTATTTATTTAATTCAATAAGAATGTATTCTTAACAAATCAGAAGATAATCAGCAGATTTAAGATGAAGTGGATCTTGTTGAAATGGTATGTATTCTTTAGCACTTGATATAAAATTAATTACAAAACAGTATAAGTACTACATAAAGCAATGCATGTATATACATGACAAACTTTTACAATGTCCGCCTAGAGTCAAGAGAAGGTTGTCTTAGCCTCTGTTCTAAGAGGTTAACACACAGTATTTCCTATGGAAACTGGGCATTTAAAATGTTTAAAATTCTTAGCAATACCTCAGAATGAGTCAATGCAACATGTAAGAGCTGAACTGAAGGCTGTGAGGGTTCTGGAGAAGGATTACTGCTCCTCTCACACATAACAGCAGGAAAACAGTAATCTGCACCCCAAAATATTGTAATCTTTTCATTATCTTTCCTGTTATTCATTTTCCTATGAAGAAATGGGAATTCCATAGAATGTGATTCCTATCATTTACATGTTTAACGCAGTGATAGATGGCACAAACTCTTATGTAACTGCTATTTATTTTTGCATGTATCTACTCACATTGGTGCTTGTGTGACACTTCACTTTGGTACAGCCCAGGGTGTATATATAATATAAATATATATAATATATGAGTGATATTAACCACCAATAGAAAACAGTTTATTCCAATAACTGAAATGGTTCTTAAACCAATTAATTCCTCTAACAATTATATTATAAAACTTCTATAAGGCAGCAAAATTCATTCACAGTTTTCAAACCTTCTGTTTTTAATATTCAGCCTTCAGCAGTTTGTCCATCAAATGGAGACTAAAGATGTTATAATTCTACATTTTCAGTTGTCTTCAGTGCTGATGCACATACAGTTTATATGAATCTCTTATAACCACAAGTACATTAAACTCCAGTTTCCTTGCCATGAATAGTTCTCAGCATTTTCACACAAGACGCTTCCAAGCCTCATGCTGTGACATAGCATTCTCCCCAAGGATAGATGGAAAATGGTGGCTCAATGAAGTGACGAAAGGGCCAAGGACAGCATAAAACAGAGTCCAGCTGGAACTCTCATCTCGTCGTCTTTCCTCCTCTGCACATGCTAAGGTGGAGTCTCTTGCTAGTATGTGTACAAATGACACAGAAACCTCCACTTGCTAAGATACCAACCAAGTTGCCTGTTTATAATGAATTGTCCCTACACAGTGACATTTGTATTCGTAAAGGAAAGGTCTCACCCTTAATTCTGAACAGGTGCCGATTGCTGTGTTTGATATGAAAAGTAACCTCTCCATTAGAATTTTTCAAAAATATAATTGAGTCTCCTTGGAGTATAATTATGTTTTAGAAGCCTCTCTGACTATGTGTCTCAAAGGAATATTAATGAATAGCATAAGAATGCCTTTCAGCCATAGGCACAGAGTTCCTTTGCTCATTTAAGGATCAGTTTGAAGATTCAAGAAATTGAAATGAAATGAAAAGGAAACTAAAATACCCAGGAAGGCAACTCTGAGGCTCCTGGTTTAATTTCCTTGTAGAGTC